TGTTTTTCTACGTTTTTTATACATTTTTTAAACGTATTATTTCCGTATACTTTCCTTATACTGATTATTTATAGGGAAACATTCTATAGAAATAATTAATAATGATAACAATAATGTTAATGAAAATGATAATAATGATTAGAACCATGATGATGATAAAGTAAATGAAGTAAAAGAAATTAATAAAGTAAAATTTGAGAAAAATCAGATGAATAATGAAGAGAAGGATAAAATTTTGGATATTGAAATATAAGATGATATAGAATTGGATGTTGAAGATGAAGTAGATAATTTTGAAATTGAAGAATCTAAAAATGAATATATGAAATTTCATTTAAATTCATATTAAGAAAGAGTAAAAATAGTGCAGGAAAATGGAAAACTATTTATTAAATAAATGAGTATTTAGGCTGAATCAATTGTAAGGTTTCATTTTCGTGATATTTCGTGATGATATTTGCATAATATTCATAATAATATTCGCATAATATTAGTTCACGTAACATTTCATGATTATAAATAATTATTTAATTATATTTTTATTTTTTATTTTTAGGCTTCTAATAATTTCTCTAACAATTTTATCTAAATAGTAATCAGAAAGCCTTTTTATTATTTCACTTAAAATTTAAAAAAAAAAATACTATATATAACATAATTTATAATTAATAATAAATTAAAAAATATTACTTTCATATTAGATCCATTAATACCAGCTTTTCTTTTAATTGGTTTATAATATATCTCATCTCCACTTTGAAAATATTTCATTATCATTGTAATAGTAAAAGCGTTAACTTTCAATATATCAAATATTTTTTTTTAAGAAAATTCATCATAATACAAATATACTACACTCCACCTCAAATGTGCACTTATATTGTTACTTTTCATGAGTCAAAGAACAACTTTACTATGGTAACATAATTGTGATTCCCATTTTTCTTCCATATATTTTTTTTGTAATTTTCTGTGATTCCTTGAAAATTGTTGTGATTTCAAAGTTTAAGTTGAATATATATTAGTTTTTTTAATAAAACTTCTTGTTATTTAAAAATTAAAGTTTTTATGTAAAGCTGAACATGATTAACTTAAAAAAATTGATTGCCGTCACATGATCGACATAATACTAATAAATGAAAATCATATCAACATGGCATGCCCATAATTTCCATTTTGAATGACTATACAACTCAGTACATAAATACGAGCAGAGTAATATTAAAGAATTCTCTTTGCAAAAATGTATACATCTTTTGAACATATGTTTCATAAATAGCGTTTGTAGTTAAAAATTGCAGATGATTTTCCATAATATTCCATATATTTACATTGAAGCCATGTGTATTAATTTGCGTTAAATCTTTGTCTGTTAAAAAGCATTTAGGCTGCAATCCCTGATTTTAAAAATAGAATTTTTTTTTATTACTCCTATTCGTATTCTTTCTTTGCATTTGCCATTATTTTCAAGAAATAAATATAATAATGGAAATCCACTTCTGCATGTAAAACATATAGTTTGAATCCCATATTATTGGTATTATAAGTAACATCAATTCCATATTCATCAATTCCAAAATTACTTATTTGCCCAAGAATTCCAGTATCAAATGCTAATATATGAACCGGTTCAACTTCATATATTCTAGAAGCCAAATATATGCAGATTCAAATGCATTATTATGGCGTTTGTACCGACCTTGACCTAACTGTGTTCACTAATAATGGATCTATTTTTGTTTAATAAATAATGGAAAATCAAAATCTTTATTATTAATAAGACGTGCATAAATTTCTCTTGGAAGAAGATCTAATTATAAAATCATTTATATTTTGTGATATTGAGAGCTTGTGCAAATCTTTATGAATTAGAGTTACTTCAGCTATATGCATTATTTCATTAACTGAAATTTTTAGAATATCATCACATTTAAATCTTTCCTTTTATAGAACATCTCATTTCTTTGACGGATCAGAGTTCTTTTTTGGTTTTTTTCGATAAAATGTTTCGTTGTGAACAATAATACCAGTAAGTAGCTGATTCTTTACTTTTATACTGTCGATTGTAAATCCAGCTATATTTGTCAGCATCTTCAATTAATTCAACAATTTCATTAACGAGATCTTTACTTGAAATATTAAAAATGCTAATATTTATTCCGCAATAGAAATGCAACTCTGATTGTATATTTCCCAAAATTTCTATAATTGTTTTGCTAAGTAAATTTAAGTCAGCTATATCTAATTTACTATAAAGTAAACTATTATCTGGTTTTACGGGTCATTTTCATTTTTTAGAACACCTTGGACAACAAGTTTTTCAAGTTTTTAGAACTTTAAATGTTTTACAGCCGTTGCAAAAATTATTAATCAAATGGATTCCATTTATTTGAAAAAGCAATATTGAAGTATAAAAAAGCATAAAACTTTATTTTTGTTAACTTTTTTTTATTGATATCAATAAAAAATTTAAAAATATCAAACGCGAAATTGATTAATGACGTAATATGATGATATAATAAATCATATAAGCTACATGTAGCCACATGACTGAGAAGGAGTCACATGCCCGAGTTTTTTTGTAGGTGATAGCTGTTTTTGATACCCCACTGTAACAAGTACTTTGAAAAAACAGATTTTCTAATTTTTTTATTTTTAAGCATAACTAATTATTTACGTATATTAAGAAGGAAAAAAAATGCGTTATATGACTTTCGCAACAAAATCATGGTATATAACATATTTAATAAAAATGCATGCTAATCAATCAAAATATTATAATTTTTTATTAGTCGTCGAATTCAAAATTAATCCTTGATTTTTGTTCATTAGTTTCATTCTTTAAAGTGGCGGTAACTTCCATTTCAACCTGAAAGTAAGTTTATCAAGACCTGAGCCAGGAAGATCCATAGTAATTTTCCTAAAAACATCATATTGTTAATAGCAGTTCTTTGTTATTTATGGGTTATAAACGGAGTTTAAAGGTAAGCAGAAGGTATCGTGTTTATTGTTTTTACTAATTTAATTAATAATAATCGGAATTCCTAATCTAATACAA